CCGCCATCCGCGCCGACCCGGCCCTCAAGCCGACCAAGAAGAACGTCCCGGCCAAGCAGAAGTACTACCGCCGCCTCAAGCTGCACTCTTCGCAGCGCAAGGACCGCGCCAACTGCAAGATCCGCGCCCTCAAGGCCTCGCTTGGCCTTATCGAGTAAACCAGCCCGGTCTGCTTGTCTGTTTGCAACAGTTGCTGTGTGTGGTGGATGAGCAAAGCCTCATCTGTGACATGCTCCCCCCCCCCCGCCCCCCCAGTCACCTGCTAAGTTCGCCAGGCGCGTGACATACCGCCCGCCGCCACCACCACCACCACCACCACCACTACCACCACCACACCACACACACTTTTGCACACTTGTGTGTATTGCGCAAGAATGGGTGGAGCTGACAAGGGTGTGGCACTGGTCTCGGGTGACGAGGAGACGCCGCTGCGGGGCGCGGGGCAGGGTCGGGGACGAAGCAGCGGCGGCATGAGCCGGCGCACGATAGTCATCCTCGCCGTGGTGGTGGTGGTGGTGGTGGCGGCGGCTGCGACAGCCGTCGGCGTGGTCGTTGCCCACGATAAGGACGACGATCATGCTCCCACTGGCGCCGGTCCGGCGCCGGCAGGCACTCGCGCTGGTCTTGCCGATGCCATGGTGGAGGACGAGATGCGGACGCATCTGACCGAGCTGATGGCGGCGGCGGTGAACCATCCAAACGCCGCAGGCGTGCCGTGCCGATCGGTGCTGAATGGGTACAACGAGTCGGCCGAGTTTGTACGTTTTCGCCTCACCGAGGGCGGCTTCGCCGACACCGACATCAGGACCTTCCCGGTCGAGGCTCCGGTCTACACCCAGATCGCAGTTCCGAGCCTGGTCCTCGACGGCATTGAGCTCATCTACGGCTCCGACTTTGCCGGCGTCCGGTACTCGGGCGGAAATGGGGCCCAGACGGTCAACGACGCGCCGTTGGTAGTTATTCCATCCGCGGACGCCTGCAACGCCACGGCGTATCCGTCAACGCCGGGCGCCGTCTTTGTCACCTACTCGGTGGCCGGCGGCTCGTGTGACTATGCGAGCCGAGTTATGGCTGCCGAGGCCGCCGGGGCTGCCGCGGTTCTCCTCTCGTCGTCGCCAGGCTCGCGCTCATTGCCGGGCAGCCGCGCACGCCCGTCGCCGTGGTACCCCGGTTCATGGCTAGCGTCGGTGCCTATCATCGGCGTCACCGACACCGTGTACCAGCTGATTGCCGCCAAGGGTGCCGCCGCCCGCGTCACAATCGCGACCAACACCGAGACCGTTGTCGCCGACACTTATGACGTGTGCGCCGACGTGCCGCCGCCTCCCGGCGTCACACCGTCGGGCGCCATCATCGTCATGGGTGCGCACCTCGACTCGGTCGCTGAGGGTCCCGGAATCAACGATGATGGCTCCGGCTCGGCTGTTGTGCTCCAGCTGGCACTGGCGTACCGCAAGCAGGCCGCCGCCATCCGCTCGCCGCACACGCTCCGGTTCTGCTGGTGGGCAGCCGAGGAACTCGGCCTCATCGGCTCATATCAGTACGTGGCCCAGCTGCAGGCCAACGAGCCAGCGGATTGGGACGCCATCGAACTGTACCTCAACTACGACATGCTTGCTTCGCCCAACTATGTTCGCTTTGTTCACCAGGCTAACGACTCGATCGCCACAGGTACCGTCCTTCGCCGTGCCGAGGCCATCGAGGCAGCTTACCTCGACGCGTTTGCCGCCGAAGGCCTCACCTACGAGCTCTCGTCGATGCGTGCCGGCTCGGACTTTCTTCCGTTTCTCATCGCCGACAAGCCGACCGGCGGCCTCCTTACCGGTGCCGGGGGGCTCAAGACCATGGAGCAGCGAACCATCTTTGGCGGCTTTGCCGACGCGCCGTACGACCCGTGCTACCACTCGCCGTGCGATACGCTCGAGAACATCGCCTACGATGCCCTTGTCCAGAACGCACGCGTCGCCGCACGTGTCGCCGTTCGCTTTGCCCAGGCCGATCCGCTCTGGCCGTCCGAGAGCAAGTAGCCAGGCAGCCGTCACGATTGAACGCCGTGTTTGCCCATACCCGCCACACCTCTTCATCGATCGCATTGGCAGTTGCCACCAGAATTGGTTGGAGATGCTGTCATCGTCAAACAGCACGCTACTATTTTTTTGGGCGCTGCGACTTGACGCAAAAAGGTTCCGTGCGACTTCAGAGAGAACAGCCGGGCAAACGTCGTTTCCGTGCCCACCCACGCCCACGCCCACGCCCACGCCCAAGCACGGGAGCACCGACATTCAACTCTGTTTGCAAACCTTCATTGAACATGCTCGCGAAGAGGCTAGTGCTTGTGGCAACTTTACTTCTTGCCACCGCTGCTGTGCTCCCGCAGCCCGGAGCCTGCTCCTTTGCAACCATTGACGCGGTTCTCGCCACGGCGGGTGGAGTCGTGGGCTCGGTCAAATTTCCCCGCCCGCGGCCGTCGTTTGCGAATATTTCGTCGGCGCCCGGATACGTATCGATGTTCATGCCGCCAACGCCGCTCAATCAAGTCCCCTACTGGGCACCCTATGCTCGGGTGCTGAAGTATGTGCACAGCGCGCCGCGGGTGATCTTTACCAACAAAGCCGGAGTGATGATCCAGATTACCGACTCCTACGAGAAAGGGTACTGCCCGCTACCTGCGGGCGGTAGTCACGGAGACACCAAATTGCGCGCCGTCTTTACTGCGTACACCCCAGGCACAGCGTTTGGTCTCGATTCAGAGTATCTTAATTGTGGCTCATATCAAGAGGCCGGATACAGTATTGTGGGTCATATTGGCGATCACAACATTGCCACTCTCGGCAACAGCAGCATCACCATCGCCGCCGCCGTCCCGAACCACACCGGTGTCCGCCTCCATACGCGGACCTCGCCGGGAACGTGGGAAGTCGCTGATCCGCTGTGGTACATCACTCCGGCGAACGGGATTGGTATGGTCGAGATGGAAGACGGCTACTTTTTCGCACTCACTACCCAGACACCCAACGTCGAGTGCAAGGTCTACGCCACGCCACCAGAAGGCGTGTGGCCGCCCGGAGCCGCAGTTGCCACAACTTCGTGTGGCTATTCGTCGACGGGCCAGCTGACTCCAATTGTCTCGGTCAAGTCGCAAGATCCATCCGATAATTACTACGCCATGTTCGCGTACGACAAGGGCACGAAAACGCTCGTGCTTTTCATCATAGAGCAAGTGTCCGGCGCCAACGTGGTCGTCACGGCGCGCGATCCGGCACAGTATTGGTCGCCAGCCGGAGCCATAACTATGATTGGCTCGTCTCGCATTGTCGCTCTCGATCCAGGTGGCTATGTCCTCGCATGGGTGCACCCTGGCCATCCCGATGACGACGGCGGGAGCGGCGTCATTGCTCGGGTTTTCCGCTCCGACGGTGAGCCACTCACAGATGAGTTTGTGGTGGGAAAGGGCGTGATAGACACGGGAAATGACGAAGATGACGTCGCTGTCTTTGTGGAGGATGGTTTTCTCGCCTTTGGCGTCACCTTTTTGTCCGACGCTGGTGTGGCAAAGCACTACGTTGCCTCGTTCTCGCTTGACGTGTCCGGCTTTGACTGGAATTCGCAGACGAACGTCGTTTTGCGGACTTCGCCGCTAGCAGACATGCCGGTGCCGCCGAGCATGACGATGGATGCAACGGCGTTGCGTGCTGGTACTCGAGTTCCACATCGATTTGCACCGGGCCTGTTCTCGGCCTTTGAAACTGCTATCATGTATCGAGTCCATTATGAGACGTACCTTGGCTATACCCACGTTGCCCTCTCTCGTGATCGCATCGTGCTTGACCCAGTGCGGTGCAGTGAGCTCGGTGCGCCTGCTTTCAATCTGGAGTGCCTTGCTGCTGCTCTCGTGGCACCGGCTGTCAACGACCTACCGGCTATCAACCACGGTTTCCACATTCGGCTCCCGGCCGGGACGTGGACCGGTTGCCCGCCACAAGGCGTGACGATTCCGTTTGCGCTCACGCTTGCGGGCGATGGGCAGGGTGCCACAGTTGTCGATTGCGCCGGCGCCGGTCGTGCGTTTGTCTTCAACGGCACAGGACTGGCGCCCCATGCCGAGCTCGCGGGCTCGGTTGTCTTGGCCGACATGACAATCAAGAACGGGTGGGTCGCAGCTGCGGTGCCCGCGGCTGGCTCCATTGTGGCGGGTGGATGTGTGGCGGTCATCGACTTTGCAGGCACCGGCGTATGGGTACACGTCCAGGATGCAACGCTTTCCAACTGCACTGTGACGAGCGAGGCAACCGAGCAAGTGCCGCGGTCCTCGACGAGCAACGCCGATGTCGAGTACGATGTGACGCTTGTTGGTGGCGGGCTTGGCGTGGTCAACACGGCCGACGTCTGGGTCTCGCGAGTCCGGATAGAGCTCTGCAGCGTGACCATGCCATACCTTCCGGTCTTTGCATCGTCGCTCTTGCGCACGCCGCGAATGTATGGGGGAGGGCTCGGTGTGATGTTCGACCAGATGGTGGGTGCATCGTATGACGCGGCCGTTGATGACCCACGCAGTCGAGGCGTGGTCATCGAAGACTTCACTGCGGTTGGCAACTTGGTGATGACACCGTCGTCCCGAGCTATCGGCGGGGGCGGTGGTGTGGCCGTTGCAGCTCTTCCGGTTGACATCGGCTTGATTATCGTTGCGTCGGTGGCAGCTGACGGCAACTCAGTGTCTGGAAGCCAGCTTGCCGGTGGCGGCATGCTCTTTGCCGACACCGCGCTACGGCCGGCGTCGACATTCATTGGCCCATCGCTTGCTCTTTCGAACAACAAGGCACCGAGCGGTGGTGGATTGGCCCTTTCAGCGGTGACGTCGACATCGATTGAGCTGATTGAGCTACTTGGACTCGAGCTGCGGGGCAACATCGCCGTCGGTGTCGGCGGCGGCCTGAGTGTGGCTTCGCCAAGCTCGGCCGATGCTCGGGTAGTGATCCGTGAAGCAGTCGCTGCAGGCAACACGGCTGGCACGAGTGGTGGAGGCACAGGCATTGCTGGCCTTGCATTGGTGATTGTCTCGAACTCGACCTTTGACGGCAACCACGCCATGCGCGGTGGCGGGCTGGCCGTCGCTGATCAGGCCATCCTGCAGCTGGACAATACGCAGGTTGTGGGCAACACTGCGGAGTATGGCGGAGGCCTTGCTGCAGAGGGTACGACATGTCTACTGCAGTCTGGATGCGCGATTACTGGCAACGTTGCGGGCCGGTACGGCGGCGGCGCGCTCGTCTCGTCGGGCACGCTGACGTATGCGGCGGGAGACGTGGCGGTGTCAGGCAACCGAGCTGAGATTGCGGGCGGTGGCGTGTTTGAGTGTCTCCTCTCGCAGGCGTGTGGCAAGACTCTTGCCTCGCCGTGCAATGGAGTTGGAAGTGGCGACGTGAGCAGCATGACATACGTTGAGAGCATCTCACCTGCGGACGCTGCGGCGCAGACGACGCTCAACACGCCGTCAAACCTTGCATCTGACCCGGTGGCTCTTGTCAAGACGGACGGCACGACGACAGGCATGGTGGCCACGATCTCGTCAGGCCAGGCGCCGTTTCCCAGTCTTGCTGTCCACGCGGTGGATTCGTATGGGGCGATGTCGCTGTTTGCGTACAATGCGCGGCTGGTGGCAGTCGCAGATGCAGGCGGTGCGGCCGCGCTCGCGCTCGCACCGGCTTATATTCCAGTGGGGTCGGCCGAACAGATGAGCGTGGCGACGGCGACGTGCAGCAGTGATGCGGGCGGCAGGTGCGAGCTGAGCCAGGCGCGCGTGCTTGCGTTGACTGTAGACGATCTGTCTACGAGCTACGTGGTGGGCGTGGAGATGGAAGACATGACTTGTGTGAGGCTTGCGACGCCGATGGTGGTGGCGATTATGCCATGCAAGGAGAATGAGATCACGGTGGTTAGCAGCACGGTCACGTGTGAGGTTGCTTGCACCGCTGGCGAGTACCTCGACGGCGAGCAGTGTTTGGCTTGCAAGCCAGGGACGTTTCGGTCGGACGCGAGGCACCAGCTGGAGTTGTGCAGTACATGCCCCGGGGGTATGTTCTCGTTTGGTGGCGCTGCGGCGTGTCGGGTGTGTCCGATTGGTGGCGACTGCTCGGATCCAACGCGGATCCTTGCTGCGCCTGGCTTCTGGTACCCATATGGCAATGCGAGTGCGCAATTAGACATGGGTGCGTTCCTGGCGTGCGAGCCGGCCGAGGCATGTCCAGGCGGAGCCGGATACACGCAGTGTGCTCCAGGATACGCAAACAACTTTGCGTGCTCCAAGTGCAGTACCGGGTACGCGCGCGCGGGGAGAAGTGCATTGAGTGTCCGGGAGACATGGTCTCGGTGGTGATTGTGATCGCGCTGGTGGCGGTGGGAATTGCGGTGGGAATTGTTGTTATCACCCTCGTGGTGCGAGCGCAGCGGATGAAGACGCAACGACGTGTGCGCTCGCTTTCTGTTGTGCCGCAAATTGTCAAGACGGCGATCAATACTGCGCAAACACTCGCAGTGGTGTTTGCGTTACGTGCGCAGACGTCAAAGCTGCTGGCGACGACGGCTGCGCAAGCTCTCACGTTCTCAGCGCTCTCGATGGACATTGTGCCGATCCGGTGCCTGAGCAACTTGAGCGTGTACCAGTCGTTTGTGGCGACGATGCTTGTGCCAATCGCCATCGTGTTTGTCTCAGGACTGTGCAGCTTGGTCGCGTCGCCGACACAGCCTGCACTAGCGGCACGACAAGCTGCGACTATTGCTGCGGTAGGGTTTTTCCTCGCCTATCCTGCGGTGGCACGCTCGGCCATGTCAATGCTTGCTTGCCGAGCGTTCTCGCTCCGGTCTGGGCTCTGGCTCGCTGACGATCTCGACATCCAGTGCTTTGTGGGGAGCCACGCAGTGTATGCAGGCGTCGCTGTGGTGGCCATTGTGGTGTATGTTGTGGGAGCGCCTCTGGCGCTCCTGCTTGCGCTTCGTGCGGCGCCTGCGGATCGCTACTCGCGATGGTCGTTCTTTGCCGGCCAATACCGCAGTCGAGTGTGGTTCTGGGAGTGGGCCATTCTGATTCGCAAGGTGGGCATGACCGCGCTTGCGGTGTACTCGCGGCGCGCAGTGGAGCAGCTGGTGATGACGAGCCTGGTGCTCATTGTTGTGCTTGGCGCGCAGCTGTATGCGCAGCCACTGATTCTGCGGAAGCTCAACAATGCCGAAGCCGGGGGCGTTGCCGTCTGCATCTACGTCGTCTTGGCTACGTTTGCGATCTTCTCGCGGGACCGGACAGACGCCGACGTCGAGTCGGCCGGCCGGGCCACGCCCGCGCGTTCCCAGTTTGTGTCGTTCTTGGAGTACTCGGCGCTCGCTGCCATTGCGGGCTACTTTCTCTGGCTCTTCTCGCTCGTTTTTACCATGCGACGGGCGGCAAGCGCGATCGTTCCGCTTTCCTACTCGCAATCCGAGCCCGGGTCCGAGTCAGGCGACAACGTGTCGGCCACCGAGCTCGTCGTCGTCACATCAAGAGGCAAGACAGTCGTCTCGGGCTCCAGCTCGAGCTCGGACTCGAAAGATCTCGACACGTACTCGGGTGCAATGCCGATGTCATCGTCATCAACTTTGTCGACGCTGTAGACTCTAAAGCTGCAAAGACACAGTTGATCATCAGCAGGTGCGGGTGGCGAAGAACGATCGAGGGATGGCGTGCGGGCCGGGCCGGCGAACAACCAGAAAACAGGCACAGAGCTCGAACCCCCTTACCCCCCCTACCCCCCCCCCCCCCCCCCGCCGCACACACACATACACACACACCTCGCTCGCTCGCTCGCTCGCTCTCTTCCTCACCATGCTCGACAAACTCCCTGCTGAGCTCGTCCACCGCATTGCATACGACGTGCTCATCCTCAGCCCGCGCGACGTGGTCAACCTGGCGTGCGTGAACAAGAGCCTGACGACGGTGCTGCTCGGTGATCGGTACTCGCGCGACCGGGCGTACTCTTTATGTGGGGCATCGTGGTGCGCGTGTAGGCGGCGATGGCGGGCGACACAGCTGGCGTTGCGGTGGTGTTCGGCTCGCGACGGGCTTGCGGCGTTGTGGGCTCTGCTCGTCCCACAGCGCGACGTGGTGGCTGACTCGCTGGAGTGGTCCGAGGCGGCGGCAACAGCCATCAAAGCCTTTGCAGACAGCGAGGTGCTGAGTAAGGATGAGCTGCTGGCGCGGGCGTGCAAGCGCGGACATACGCTCGCGGTTGCCGCGCTCATCAAGCACAGCGGCTACTCGCCCACCGACGACGATTGTTTGGCGTTCCGGCTGGCGGCACAGTGTGGCCATCTGGACATTGTTGAGTTTCTGGCAGCTCAAGAGGGCGTCGATGCCGGTGCGTATAACAACTATGCCGTCCGCTGGGCAGCCCGCTATGGGCGTGTCGATGTGGTCCGCTTTCTCCTCGCCCATCCCGCTGTCGACCCGGCGGCAGACAACAACTGCGCCGTCCGCTGGGCCGGCATGTGCGGTCAGATCGCCACGCTTCGCCTGCTTCTTGCTGATCCGCGGGTCGATCCGACCGCCAACAACTCGGAGGCCCTGCGCAAGGCGGCGCACGTCGGCTGCGCAACCGCTGTCCGGCTCCTTCTCGACGACGGACGCTGCGATCCACGAGCTGAAGACGACTACGCCCTCAAGTGGGCACTCAAGTACGGTCATGCCACCATTGTTGCCGCGCTGGAGGCTGTGGTCCCGCCAGAGGTGGTGGCGGCGATTGCCGAGTAGTCGCCCAATCCGGTGTACGGATAAAATACTGATATTCTCGCCCTCGTTCGGTAAATGTTAACGAACCTGTGGCGTAGAGGTTTAGCGCGTTTGGTTTTGATCCAGAAGATCGTCGGTTCGATCCCGGCCAGGTTCGCTTCTTTAATTTTTTTTTGCGCCCAAAGCCACCCTTGTCATCCCCTCTCCACCTCTCTTCCACGGAAGCGATCGCCTCCTCTCTAGGATTGCACTTTGGCGAGTGCTACGCACCGCTTGTGCGTTGCGTCGGATTGGTATGAGGATGGGTAGGGGGGGGGGGGAGGGAGGAACGAAAAAATGACCAGAGGGAGGGGGAGATTTCGATGTTGGACGAGCTGCCACGCCGCCGCTGCGACTACTCGGCCGCTCCTAACGAGCACCCACATCACCCACAGCAGCACTACATCAACTGATACGCTGTGCACAGAGACAATGCACAGGCGAGGGTGGCGCCAGGAACAAAAAAGAAGTAGCGGCGGCCCGTCTCGATCGGGCGACCTTTGGGTTATGGGCCCAACACGCTAACCGCTGCGCCACGCCGCTGCACGTTCTCAGAACGATGTTGACTGACAGTGGCCGCACGCAATTTAGTTGGCCCGCACCAACCTCACCTCGTCACACCCCTCATCTCACTTCTAGAGGCGATCGGTGGCGTCCTTGCTCCAATGCTATCCTCTGCCTAGCGGGTGCTATGTCAGAGACGGATCAGGACCGGTAGGGGAAAGGGAGGAGAAAAAAATGCCTTGTGTGGGGGAGATTTTGATGTTGGACGAGCTGCCACGCCGCCGCTGCGACTACTCGGCCGCTCCTAACGAGCACCCACATCACCCACAGCAGCACTACATCAACTGATACGCTGTGCACAGAGACAATGCACAGGCGAGGGTGGCGCCAGGAACAAAAAAAGAAGTAGCGGCGGCCCGTCTCGATCGGGCGACCTTTGGGTTATGGGCCCAACACGCTAACCGCTGCGCCACGCCGCTTTTCGTTCTCAGAACGTTGAAATATACGGAATTGAAAACCATATTAGTATGCTAGACTGCATTGGGGGAAGACGTTGCTGGTAGGCTCCACGCACAGCTCGGTCTGCGCCTCAGCGATGGTAAGGGATGATGGCACGTAGGAGGAGCCAAGGAATGACAGCAGCAATAGCAATGACTGGATTTAGACAAGACGGTCGTGAACAGAAAGCTTCTTGACGGTGCCCACGTACTCGATGAGCATGGTCTGGCCGTCGAGGGCGACGCCGTTGTACTTTGCGACGGCGAGGGCGGCCTCGTCCGGAGACGAGTACGTGACATGGGCAACACCAGTCGAGTTACCCTCGGCATCAAAGGCCAGAACAGCTTTGACAAGCTCGCCAAGGTCGGCAAAGAGGTCGTTGACATCGGTCTGGGTGACGGTCGGGGCCAGGTTCGAGACGACCAGCTTGGCCGACGGCTCCACGGCCGGAGCCGGCGGGCCGGACGGCGCCGGGCGGCCGCGGTCAGCGTCGCGCCCACCGCGGCCAACGTCGCGCCCACCGCGGTCGCCGCCACGTCCGCCACGGTCGCCGCCACGGTCGCCGCCACGGTCGCCACCACGGTCGCCACCACGGTCGCCGCGGTCGCCGCGGTCGCCGCCGCGATCGCCGCCGCGCCCGCCACGGCCACGCTCGCGGGTATCACGGCCACCATCGTTACGATCATTGCGGCCATCACGACCACCGCGGCGGTTGTTGCCTCCTCTGTTGTTGTTGTTGTTGTTGTTGTTGCTGTTGTTGTTGCCACGACCGCCGCGCTGCTTGCCCTTGCGAGCGCCGCCGGCACCGATGCCGAACGGATCGTCGTTGTCGCGAGTAAAGACAACCTAAACCACCGCCGCCAGACACATGCATGAGTCGCCATCAGCTGGGTGTGCCATCACCCGCGCCAACACCTGCTCCTTGCCCGTATCCTCCGCCGCTGGCCATCACACCACAGGCGCAGCACATTGGACTCGCCCTTGAAAAAAATAAACAGAGTGACCGACCGCCCGATCGACGGCGACACGACCGAGGCAGCGAGCGGCGAGGAGAGCATGGGGCGGCGCGCGAGGGGGAGGGGGGGGCAAGGGGAGGGAGAGAGGACGTACCTTGTATGGTCCGGCGTCCCCACGGCGCTGGTTGCGTCCGGTTTGGTTGCGGGCCTTGCCCGAGCGGCGCTTCTGCTGGGCCTGGGCGGCAGCAGCCTTGCGGCCAGCCGCCGCCTTGCGGTCGGCAGCCTCCTTGGCCTTGCGGGCCCGGTCAGCAGCAGCCTTCTTCTTGGCCTTCTCCGCAGCAAGCTTGCGCTTCTTCTCGGCAGCCGCAGCACGCTGCTTCGCCTTCTTCTCCTGGTTCTCGGCCTTGATGAGCGCGTCCAGAGAGAGCGAGAGTCCGTCCATGCTGCCGGTCTGCGTCGAGTGGTGCGTCTTCCGCTGGTCGTTGGCCGCGACCGACACCCGCTCACCCCTCCCCTCCCCCCCCCCCCCGTCCGCTCGCTACCAACTTGCCAGTCTACCACACACAGGCGGAATGACAGGATCTGATAAAGCTGGCAAGGCTTACGAGATAAAGAAGGGTCATCGCAGCTGCCGTAGAGGTCGATGGCAGCCAGTTGCAGAGCATGATCAGGACTTGAGAAGCGGTTACCAAGTCTTTTCTGGGTAGCAGATGGTGGATAGGCGGGTGTGGGGGGGGGTGAAAGGGGGAGAGAGAGAGAGAGAAAGAAAGAAAGAAAGAAAGAAAGAAAGAAAGAAAGAAAGATCTACGCGCAGAACCGCGATGTTGGTGGCGACGGTGGATGCAGCTGATCCGTGCTGTGTCCGAGTAAGGCGGGCGATGCTTACTATGACACGGCAATGTGATCAGCTGATCTCGGACCAACCACGATGTGACGGACGCGGTGGGAGGCCGAATCCTAGTCTCATGCAGCCTTGGATGGCTCCGATGGTGTGGCAGATAGCGCAATGCTGTGTAGTTGCGTTGCGCACATGGGACTGGTTCTACAAGTGCCTTGCCAATGAGGAAAACCGCCGGCCGGCGGGAGGCGTGAGCCGACGGGCGCGCGACGGCTGCGCGGCGGGCTGGACAACACGCCGCGCTAGCTCGACAAGTGGTGGAGAACGACCATGCGCTGGGCTGGAACGCGTTTATCTTTTCTTCCTCTCGCCATAACCTTCAGCACCCAGTTCTAGTCGTCATCCGACTCGTCATCGGGCATCATGTACGACATGACGGCGTTGAGGCCGCGGAGAAGCTCGGCCTGCTTGCGTGCCTCAGCGACAAGAACGGCGATGTGGACCTTTTCGTCCTCGCGGAGCTCGATCTCAATGCGGTGGAGGTCGGCGATGGTGACGATTTCTGGGAAGCGCGCGACCTTCTTGATGTACGTCTTGGTGCCCTTTTTGAGGAGCGCAGACGAGGCGCGGTAGTCGTGGTCATCATTGTAGAGGCCGTAGAGGCGGTGGGTGTAGTACCAGATGGCCTGGCGGAATGGCGCTGTGTCAACAGCCTGGGCGTCGTTGACCGACTCGTCGGTCATTTCAAAGGCGAGGTTAAAGGTGGCGTCGAGCATGTCGGCCGCCTCCGCGTAGTACTGCGAGACGAGCGAGTAGCCCTGGGCCGCCCACGAGTAGGCGTGCATCTTGAGCATGTGCGAGTCGCCGCGAGAGGCCTTCTCCCGCTCGTCAAAATCTTCGTACTTGGACTGGCTCACAGCCGGATCAACAAACACGGCGGCGGCTTCCGAGACCAACGGCGTGTGGTCGGCGAGGCGCCCAGTGTTCTTGTCGAGCTTGGCGAACGCGTCCTCTTGCTCGCCAGGCAGCTCGTCGGCAGAGGCCAGACTCTGCATGTCCGACACAATGTTCTGGCGGACGACGCCGAGGGCGTCGGCGGCCGGGGCGGCCAGCGGGCCGGCGGCGGCGGCGGTACACGGCGCCTGTGCGTGTCCACCCACGCACAGGTCCGGCTCGCACGTCACACCAGTGCCGGCGACGAGCGACGCCACGCCGTGGAACGAGGCAATGAGGGTGATGGCATGGACAAGCTCGGCAATGGACCAGACTTCGTCACCCTCGACAAGCTCTGCCACATGCAACCGCCGCAGCCGCCACGGCTTGCGCACCATGATGCCCACAAGCTTGGCCAGCTTGGCCAGCTTGGTCGGCACAGCCTCCAGACCGCGGGCAAGCCACTCGGGATCGCCGCCGCACGCCACAAACTCTTCGGCCTGCACCTCCAGCACTGGGTAACAGTCGTGGAGCGCAACAGCCATGAGCGCAATAAAGTGCCGCCAGTCTTGCGGCAGCGGGCCTGACTCGCGGGTGACAGCGTGCATGAGCGCAGAGTGCCGTGCCGCGTAGTCGGGGAACCACGCAAGGACCTGGTACAAGTGCGCCACCCGCCCGGCGCACGAGAACTCGCGTCCGTACATGGCCGCAATCTCCGAGCCCGTCTCGAACCGCGCAGGTGCAAAGGCCTCGATACCTGCCAGGAACATAGACGCCGGCCCGATGCACAGCTGGGCATCCACAGAGTTGAGCGGCCGCGGGAGCGAGGCCAGCCAGGCAGCCACGCCGACGCGCACGTCTTCAAAGGGCGCGCGTCGGCTCATCTCGGCCACCCGCGCCACATACCCGCTCGCGAGGCATGAAGTTACCTCGTTCTCGGCCACGTCTTCCTCGTCCCGCACGGGGATGGAAGCCTCCAGCTCGCCCAGCACGTCACCGAGGCCGAGCGCCCGCTGCTCGGCATCCGGGTGGTGGAGGGGAATAAGGAAAGATGCGTCATACTCGGCGGCATGTTCAGGCGCGCCCAGCGCAGACACTACATACCACGGCGGCGAGGCCTCGTCTGACAGCAGCTGCTGCGGGTCGGCAGGGACCTCACCTTGGTTCGTCTTGGTAGGCTCGGTGGATGGCGAGGCCATGACCGGTGAGGGGAGACCGGGTACACGCACGCCACGGGTAGGCGAGTAGTCCACCACAAACTCTGTCACAGACAAAGTATACCTCTCCAACTACCCCTTGGTTGCCTTTTCAAAATTCCTTCCTGCCGGACTATCCCCCGCTGTGCCTGCGTCAGGTGGTGCTGTCGGTCGTCGTCGGCGCGAGAAAGGCCGCTGGCTGGTGGTGGCTGGCGGGTGGTGGCCGGTGGGCCGGTGGCTGGCTCGGTCAGCCGGTCGGTCAGTCGGTCGGTGGCCGGCAGGCAGTGGCGGCTGGCCGGCGACAGGCGGGTGCCAAGTCAACAACGAGTGCGAGGACAGTCAGCATGGCGTAGTGGCGAGAGGATGACAGCAGGTGGGGCCACCTGACTCGACCGCGAAAACGGCTGGAGGGATGGAGGAGCTTGTGGTGGTGGGCGTGACTGCCAGTCCGGAGCGGCGGGTGGAGGGCGCGGTTGGCGCGGTCGGCGCCAAGGTCACCGAAGGGCCGAAGCAGCAGCAGCGGCGGCGGGCTCCACGGCGAGGGCGGCGGTCTGTCTCAGCCTCGGGTGCAAGGAGACAGCAGGGTGCGGCCAAGCCAGGCCGATCGCATGGGAGCGCCAGGCTGGTGACGGACGACGAGCTGCGGCCGGTCGAGCCGGTGTCGGACGCTGGGAGGCGAGCGCAGAGCAGGCGCGAGCGGCCGCAGACTGGCGGGCGGGCGCGGGCGTCGCAAAAGGCTAGGGCGCGGGCGCGGAGGACCAAGACAAGCAGCGGGCCGGTGCGAAAGCCCGAGGAGAAGAACCGCGCAGCGCAGTGGGGCGTGCGGGCGCGATCGCTGGCCAAAGCCGTCCGGTCGGCCGAGACCTCTGTCCGCCGCGCAATGGCGGCAATGGAGGATCTGAGTGAAGCCCGCGACGCATCGGCACTGGCTGACTCGGAGCGGGTGGCCGAGGCCGAGTCGCTGGCCAGCGGGCTGAGCCAGGCGGCGGCGGCGGTGAACCGGCTGGAGACGTTTCTCTCGGCCGATGCGGCGCGGGCAGCTGCGTCGGATGACTTTGTGGCCAAGCTGCAGCGACTGATGGACCGTGCAGAGAGCCACATTGGTGGCGTCAAGGCTGCGGGGCGGGATACATTTGAGGAGCTCCTCGTCCATGAGCGACGGTTGGAGCGCGAGCTCGCCGTCTACGCCCGCCACTTTGACGCTTGGAACGAGACGGCCAACGAGCGGGCGGTGGCTACGGCGGTGGCCATGGCCTCGCCGCCGCGAAGCTCGCGAGAGGCAGTCCCGGCATGCTCGCCAGCCGGCGATCGGCGCTTGCCGCCTGCAGTCGTGGCGTTTGACGAGTTTGTCGCCGCCCACGGCGGGGCGAGCGGCGGTTGGGACGAACCTGACCACGCACTGTATGTCAAGCTGCGGCGCAAGGCTGCACTGCCTCCTCCATCGTCGGTACGGTACGCAGCAGCACTCGACACTATGCTCGACCGGGTTGCCAGCGCGCTGCCGATGCACAGTCGCGCTGACGTGGCCAGCCACGATGCATGGTACACCCAGTACACTACCTTGCTGGGTGCCAAGCGGCGGGCCATCTCGCAGTGGCGGGCGGCCCGGGCAGAGAGCGGCGAGCGAGCCACCACCAGCGAGCCGGCCACACCGCCACGAGCGCGGCCAGCAACCGCCGCTGCGCTCCGGACCGAGTCGCGGTCGGCGACCAAGGCGCGGATCTTCGAGTACAAGGTGCGCAAGGCCAAGTCGGCGGTCCACGACGAGCTGCTGAGCAGGGCTGCCCGGCGGGCGCGGGCGGCGGCAGCTGCAGCCAAGCGCGCAATGCAGAAGCAAAAGCGAGCGCAAGTTGCGGCGTGGGCTGAGGCCCGCGCCGCCCAGCAGGCACGAGCGGCAGCCAAGGCCGACTCGGCTGCCGCCGCCGATGCCGTGCCGCTCACGCAAGCCGAGCTCGCCCGTATGCACGCCCGGAATCTGGAGCTTGCCCGCGCTCGCGCCGACGCCGCACGGGCCAAGAAGGCTCGCAGAGTCAAAAAGGCTCTGGTTCATGTCTACGATCCGCTGCCGCAGGCGAGTGTTACCCGCGGACCACGCGACCCCAACAGGCTGCTTAAGCCAACTGCGGCGACTGCCGCCCGCGCCGCAGCCATCGAAGCCGGCAAGGATGAACAGACTGTCTTTGACGCGGCTCCTGTCGTCTCGCGTCGGTCGATGCCTGCTTGGCGCGCGCGCATGTAGCGCAGTGCTGAAGCCAAACTTGACCGGTGGCGTGGAGAGCGAGTGAACAGCGGCACAGCGGCACTCGCTGGTCAGCACTCGCCTGAGACGAGACCATTTGACTCTCTCAGCAACAAAGCAGACAGCATGGCCTCCGATGCGGGCTTGGCAGATGGGCTTGGCGTGGTGGTGGTGGTTGGCGCCACAGGCTTCCTCGGAACCCGGCTGGTGGGCGAGCTGGTGGCGAGAGGCGAGGAGGTGGTGGCGGTCGGCTCGGCGGCACGGCCCAAGGGGACGACCATTGACGCTGCAGACGGCTCGTTCTCGGTCCCGGTAGTGCGTGCAGACGTGACGACGAGCGCTGGGCAGGCGGCGGTAGTCGAGGCGGTGGCTAATGCCCGCACCAGCTCGGGCCGTCCGCTCAAGGCGGTGTTCTTTCTGGCCGCGCTGGCGTCGGGTGCCGTTGCACCCGAGACTCATCCGGAGGAGGCTCAGGCCATGTCCGAGCTCAACGCCAGCGCGCCTGGTCGACTGGCACGCGAGCTCGGCGATGTGCTTGCCTCAGATGGTGCACTCTTTGTCTACACCTCGACCGACATGGTGTTTGGCGGCGACGCCGCGCCGTATTCGGTCGACTCGCCGCCAGCGCCACTTACCCACTATGGGGCGACCAAGGCGGCTGGCGAGCAGGCTCTGCTGCGCGATGGCGCAGCTGGTGATGGCGTGCGGCTCTTGGTTGTCCGCCTCCCCCTCCTTTACGGTGACGGCGCGTTCTTTGGCGGAATGATTGCCAAGGCGCGCGAGGCCGCCGCCGCCGTCGCTGGCCAAGCCGTCGAGCCGATGACACTCTTCACCGATGAGTTCCGCACACCGCTTTCCGGGCTAGGCGCTGTGCGTGGACTACTTGCTGCCGTTGCTATTGGCTTGACTGGTTTGCACCACTTTGGCGGGCCGGACAAGGTCTCGCGGTGGGCGATGGGCGAGGCGCTCGCGCGGGCTGTTGGCATTGACGCCAGCGCCGCGTTCTGCGGCGTCGAGGTTGCCACAGTGGTCAAGACGCCGCGGCCGCGCGATCTTGCGCTCGACTCGGACGCGACATGGGCGGCGCTGCCAGAGGCCGCACATCCGTGCGCGCTCGACGATGCTATCGCCGCCATCCTGGCGAGCCCGGTCCCGCATGTGGTGGTTCCCGAGTCGTAGAGCGGCCGTCAGTGCATGATGTGTCTAGCTGCGGGAGCGCAGAGTAATAAATGTGTGATAGTTGTGTGTGTGTGTGTGTGTGTGGCGTGTTTGGGTACAAAGCATTGTGAGCTGAGCTCGACTACGCCTTGGAGGCGACAAGCGCAGCGCGGCGGGAGGAAGCGATCTTGGCGCGCTTCTTGCGGGCCGACGAGGCGGCGGCCTTGGCCTTGGCGGCGGCCTTGGGCGTCTTGCACCCGACGTCGCGGACTGACTTGCGCTGGTTGAGCGGTGCTGCACTGTTCTCGTCAACCGGCTTGGTTGTTGTCGACTTGCTCAGCGCGCTCTTGTATGCCTTGTTGGAGCGGAAGGAGATGGGGACCCGCTTCGGGTTGAGGTTGGGCTTGCGGCGGCCGGCGGCCTTGCCGGCGGCCTTGCGCGACGACGGACCGGCGGCGGCGACAGCGGCAGCCGGTGCAACTGCCCTGCGGCCGGCAGGCTTGGCGACCGGCTTGCGGCTGCGCTTCTCGCCGATCGACGCCATGCCCGAGAACATTTTGGCGTGCATGGCGTCAAACTTGTCGCGAACCGATCGCGGGCCAGCCCCGCTCTTGGTAGACGTGGTGGACTTGGCGGACTTGCCAGCGCGCGGCTTGCCTGCCGGCCTAAGCAGCCGATCAGCCACCTTGCCACTTGCCTCGCCGGCGAGCGGCACCGTCACGCTCGTGGTTGCCGGCGCGGCGCGCGCTGTAGGCGCCGGCGACTCGAGATCGTCGAGGCTCAGCGCCACGTCGTCTGTGGCGATGTCTGTCTCGGGATAGGCCACGACCATGGCCTCGGGCTCGGTCTCGGGCTCGGGCTCAGTCTCGGGTTCGACGACAGGCTCGTTCGCCGTCTCGTTCAGTTCGAGCAGGCTCTCGATGATGAAAGTCGACTGCGAGCCGCAGGGGCAGCAGAATCCGGAGAGCGAGAGTGAGAGTGAGAGTGAGTGACTATGGCAGAGTGGGCTGGTTCTGGTGTGAGCGACGCAGCGGGGGAAACCGTGCGTCGTCACGAGGGTCGGCGCGCCGTGGCGTACCTTTCCATTGGCCTTGATGCCGTGCTCCTTGGCAAGGGCTTGCAGCTCCTTGCGCTTGAGACCCTCGAGATGTGCGCGGTCAAACATTGTGCGTGCGATAGAGATTGCGTGTGTGTGTGTGTGTGTGTACGTAGGTGGGGCGGTTGTGCGGTTGTGCCGTGTGGCGCGCAGGTGAATCCCAAAATTTGTGGTCGACGAGTGGCCCGGCCAGAGCGGATGGTAGGTGGAGGCGGAAGGGGGGGTGCGGGGCGGGAGGCGAGCGATCGAATGCGTCGGAACGGAAGTTGGAGAAGCGGGGGGCCGGCAGTGGGAGGACTAGGTGTCGGGAAAACGCATTCCTTCTCTCACGTAGTTGACGATGAAGATTGTGACGTGCCTTGTGCTCCTCGCCATTGTGGCTGTGGTGCGGGCTGACTTTGTACGTTGAGGGGCGCGGAGGGGCGGTGCAGGGTGGGGGACGGGGGAGTGGTGGCGAGGCAGAAAATTTCGCTTCCAACCGAGGGTCGCCCCGACACTCGGCGGCGGTGGCGGCGAAGGAGATGCCGGAGACGGCGGAGACAGGGGTACAGCGCGGAGGAGGAGGGAGGTAGAGGAGGAGGTGCCTGTGTGAGAGCGACCGGAGCATGCTTTGGCCTTGTAGCCGGCTCTGTAGGTGGTGGAGTTGCGCGTGCCCGCCAGGAACGTTTTTTGGCCCCTCGTTTTGCCTTTGACGACCAGCAACGGCAGCCGGATGGGGTGGAAAGGCGGCGGCGAGACTCACAGGGCAGACGGCGACGGCGATTGGGTGGCGGAAAACAGTACATGCACAACCCGCGTGGCTCCAACAACCGCCTCTCTGAGGACAACAACAACCGCAACAACGCGAACCGTCTCTTCGACTCGCAGAACAACAACCGGTACGCTTGGGTTAGGATGGTAGCGGTTGCGACCGCGTTCCGCAGGGCGGCGGGTGGGGCAGACGAGGGCGGAGTGCGGCGCCTTTGGCGTCGCGGCAGACAAACGCACGCACGCGTGGTAGCAGCAAGCCGCCAGAGTCATGGTCTGGTATCTTGAGGGGGCGGAAGAGGTTGCCGACGGGGCGGAGCTTTGTCGAGAACATTGTGTGCACGTGCCCAGGCCACGTGCCGCCGACTATTGGTATTCCCCTGAATTGGACCGATTTTTGCCGACACCCTTTTTTTTTGGTGGCAAGAGACGGCTTTTGCCGCTGGCTGAAGCCTTGCCGATTTTTTTAACTCACACACTACCTCGCTCTGACGGCACACTGCAGTGGTGGCTACAACGTTGGCGACAGCAACACTGCCAAGAACGGCAACGGCCGTGGCGATGGCACCGGCATCCTCACGTACTACAAGACGTCGATCCTTCGCGTCGAGTGGACCAACCAGCATGGTGGTGAGAACCCCAACGTGAACACTCAGGTTGTGTTCCAGTACATGTGCGACGACCAGTCTGCGACGTACGTCGACAGCAACTCTGTCACGCAGGAGCTGTGGAACACGGACCTTCTCCGCGATGGTGACGGCTCGATCGGCAACGCTGCCAACCAGCGCGTGCAGGATGACACGCAGACCCAGCGTGGTCGCCACGAGCCGATTGCTTTCTACCAGCACTGCTCGACCCGGAACCGCAACCGCGGGCTCTTCATTGCGACGGAGAACATCGCCGACAACGCTTCGGCGCGGCGTACCCGCCAGGACAACGCCGGCACGCAGTACGGCTCGGAGTGCCCCGAGGAGCGCGACTACTACCCGTACTGGCACCCGACGCCGTGGAAGGACATCATTGTGCTGACCTCGAACATGACGCAGTGCGAGCTGTACCAGACCGAGTCGCAGAACGTGATGGCCAAGGGCTTCTGCGTCGACCAGCAGCACAACAACCGTGATGACTGCATCGACGACGGTTCGCAGTGGTACGAGGTTGCGCCGTGGGGCATCCCCGCTCCGCGTTGCGAGCCGCTCGCCTTCTCGCGCGACAACCACCTCGGTAACTCGATCGGCGGCGAGCCGCTCCACTTCAACTGGACCATCCCGTCGGAGGTCACTAACGACGCCAAGTGCGTTCTCCGCGGCCGCTACAACATCTCGACCGACGACTACGACGGCTGGAACCAGTTCTACGAGGAGGACGAGGACGGCGACGTCATCTCGCCGATCACGGACGACCCGAACGTCAACCTGCTCAAGGGCACCGGCCGCGCCGCGGGCGTCCAGCTCAACGTCGACGTCTCGCAGTTTGGCCGTACCTTCCAGGACCGCTCGCACACGTTCATCATCAAGGACCGCCCTGCGGACATCCCGGCCGAGGCCAAGATCTACAACCTCAACGTGCGCGGCCGCCGCGGCAACATCGTTCAGGTCTACCCGGCCGTTGAGTACGACTTTATCCCGCGCGAGCTCGTCGTCACGCCGACTGACTACGTCCACATTGCCTGGACTGGTTCGCTCTCGTCGCCCGATGGTGCTGGTCAGGGTGCCGCCAACTCGGACAAGAACAACCTTGTGTGCACGGCCTCGGCCGGCCACTCGGTCCCGCTCACCTTTGCCGACGAGGCCTGCAACCTCTTCACCACCTTTGCCCAGCACGAGAACTTCGCCACCGCCGGCGTCGGCGGTGCTACCATCGATGAGCTCCTCAACAATGCGCCTGCCACCTATGACGGTGGCCTCATCCAGCCGGGTGGTGGCCAGGTCGGCGACTACTACTTCCTCAACACCCGCAACAACCACTTCTCGAACCGCTCCCAGCGTGGTTCGATCAAGGTTGTGGCCTCCGTCTAAGTAGATGTCGTGCGCCATGTTTTGCGAGTTTAAAGGCAATCGTTTTTCATCCACAGCCTCCCCACCCTACGTCGTACCTTGTTGGCCGCCGCGCCCGCGCCCGCCGCGCCGCCGGTTGCGTCCGCGTCCGCCTCCGCGTCCGCCCCATCTCTTGCCCGATGTCACTCCCACTGTTGCCCCATATTGCTGCACCAGCTCGATTAGGAGCGCCGCAATGTTGCGTGCATCGTCGATGCCCGAGTGATGCCGGCCCACAAGCTCGAGGCCAACCGCATCAAGCATGCCTTTCATGCCGCGGGCCCGGCTGCCGGTGGCGGCCGAGTACACGTGCTTGATGTTGATCCACGACTCGACGCCAGCAGCTAGCGCCGGCGCGAGCCGCAACTCCTTGTTGCGCACCTCCTTGGGCAACATGGTCTTGAGATCCCAGTCGCCGCATGTGCAAAACGCCCACCGCGTGCTCTCGCCCGCCAGCTCGGCGCCGAGCACCTCGTCGATCTTCTCCGCCAGCCCGTCCAGTGCCTCGTCGATGGTCATCCCAGCGTCGACCGTCTCCTGCTTGATGCCCGTGAGCTCGGTACAGAACCGGGTCAGCTGAGGCACGCTTGTCGGGCGGATGTACCTGTGAAACTCGTCCACGATCTGCGGCCCGCCGTCGCCGTCGCCGTCGCCGGCCATCTTGACAAACACCACCGGGAGCTCGATGATCTCTTGCGGGCCAAACGTCCGATCGTCGTCGCACGTCGCCTCAAAGTCGACCACAAGCACATACTCGAGTCTTTCCGCCGCCGTCGCCGCTGCCATGATGTTCTGTTTCACCTCTACTCCACCGGCCTTGGCTTCGATGGATGGTTCTATCGGATGGCCTCTCTCGTCGCTTCGGTTTCCATTGCCCGCAGGAGAAGATGAGTGGCGTGGCTGCTCTGCCATGCACTTCTGGGAAGAGAGGAAGAAAGGAAGCCGTTCCAGCCTGTGTCCGTACCTAAGAAGACCCAAACAAGACCCAGGCGTATCAAGTCGAGTGGAGTGGTGCAATCGATCGAGTGGTAGCAGCTGCACCTCCAGCCACTGGTGGCCGCCTGTGAGAGTGGCCTGCGGTGGCTGAAAACAGATGGCAAACAGTGGGCGAACCGTGGCAGGCAGAGCAGCCAGCCACTGTGACAAGCAGACCGGCAGCAGGCAGCCCCCCCCCCCCTCCAACCACCACGGTTGTCACCCCTAAGCCCACCCCACTACCCACTGCACTCTACCCCCCTCCCCCTACCCCCCTCCCCTCCCCCCCCTCCCCACCCCCCCCCCCCCCCCCCCCCCCCTCCCCCCTCGCCATGGAGAGCGTGTCGACCCCGACCCACGGACACAGAGCAGCCGGCGGTAGCGCAGGCGAGGCGCCTGCTTCGCCGGTCACGCCGGTTACGCCGGTCAAGCACGCCGTGAATGGACTGTGGAGCGAGACAGCTCGCCTGCAGGAGCAGATCCAGAAGAACTACGCCACAACCACCCAGCTGCTGGCCCGCGCAAACAAGCTCAAGGAGCGCATCGTCCGCCAGCGCCAGGAGAACCAGCATGCCTTGCACCTCATCGACTCGCCGTTGCGGCCTTCGCCCACGCCCGCGCCCGAGTCCGTCTCGTCCGCCACCACTCCCGCCGAGACCATTGCTACGGCTCCCGCTGACGCCTCCCCTGTGTTCGAGACGCCGACAAAGGCGGCCGCCAAGGCGGCGACAACGACGGCGTCGGCCGGGACACAGACGCCGCCGCCGGCGCAGACACAGCCCGCAAGCCCGCCACAGGACGTTGCTGCCGAGGTCGACAAGCCGGCGCGGGGCGACGAGGCTGCGGACGACGAGGGCCTTGGCCATGACGCCGACCGCTCCATCTCGGTCGAGGACTTTACCGATGCGCAGGCCGTGTACGAGGCCGCGCTGGAGCAGCGCGACGGCATGATCACCCAGCTCGAGTCGGACAACGTTGCCCTGCAGCGGACCCTCAAAGAGTATGAGGAGGCACTGGAGGAGATTATGGACATGCACCGCAACCAGGTCTCTGTCCTCCAGACCAAGCGCGAGGAGGCCATCGCTGCTCTCTCCGAGGACCTGGCCCTCGAGCGCGCGCGCAACGCACAGCTCTCCGACAAGTCGCTCGCCCTCGAGCAGCAGGTTGAGCAGATGGCCGCCGTCATGCGCCAGGCCGCCGACATGGAGGAGGCTGCCGAGCTCGAGGCCTCAGTCCGCCAGTCGGCCCTCGAGCGCGAGAACGCACAGCTCCGCGAGCTCATCTCGGCCTATGACAACGAGCTCGACGTCGAGTTTGAGGATGACGTCGTCGAGGCTCTCGCCAACGACGACCTGCTCGCCGCCTACGACGAGCCTGCAGACTCGCTGCAACTCGCTGCCGACGACCAGCCAGCTGCCGAGTAAACCACGTTCTACCATGCGCCCGCCTCGCCGGCCACCCGCCACCGCAGCATCGCCACCCGACGCCGCCGCTCCTTGCGCGCAAGCCGCAACCGCATCATCGCTCGCGCGCCCGAGCACGCGTCGCGGTGTCGTGCCCGGTCCATAACCTGGTGCTCTACCCCGCAGTACGCCACACTTTGGCACCCGGAACACACTCGGAGGTTGGCTAGCGAGCCGCACAGCCCGCAAAACGCCTTGCCTTCCACCATCTTGATAAACTGCCTCCGCCAGTGCCCGACCCGTAGTCGCGACGTCGCTCCAGACACTACCCCGGGAACGCCCGCCGGAACAGCTTGCGCCAGAGTATGTTGTCGACGAGGAGCGCCCGCATCGCGCGGCATGTCTGCGAGAGCGCAACTACATCGCGCATCTCTAAAAGGCGCAGAACCTCAAAGATGATCTCGACAGGGAGCAGGTCGAGGCTACCGGCTCCAGACTCGTCTTCCATCCTTTCAACAACATCCTTGCTCCCGCTCGGTCCGGCCACATGCTCACTGCCCTCCTCAGAGTCCGACTCGGACTCCGCCGCCTCATCGCCGCTGTTGTCGCCAGCCTCCTCCTCGCGGACACCCAGCACATCCTCGAGCGTCACTGCTGTGATGTCTTTCGGCAGCAAGCCCGCGGCGTTCTCGCACTCTGCGCCGGCGCCAACAGCCTCGCCCAGCACGGCCTGGGCATGCTCGGTTCCGAGTGCTACCGCTGCGTGCAGAACACTGTTGCCTGCGTCATCACGGCTCGCGTTCAGTGTCTCGCTCCCCACAAGCTGAAGCAGCAGCTCGACCCGGTCGCTCAGAAGCGTGAGTCGCACTAGCTCGGCGAGGAGTACCTGTTCGCCCCGGCCCGCGGTCCAGAGCGTGCTCACCAGTTCATCATTGCCCTTCATCAGCGCCAGACCCAGCGGCGAGACGTCGGTTTCGGCCAGCGCATCTAGATCGAGCCAATCGATTGGAGCGGAGGTGAGTTCCCTCTCACTGACCACGCTCGCGCCTGCGGCAAGCAAACGCGCAACCATGCCTGCGTCGCTGTGCTCGACCGCCACATGCAGCGGCGTCACACTCGGGCACTCGTACGACGCCGCATTCAGCGGCGCGCGCATCCGGATCAGCCGCTCGACAAGCCGCGGCTTCCCTGCGCGGACAGCAAAGTGCAGCGGCGTCCATCCAGCAAAGTCCGGCAGGTCAAGATCAATCGTTCGACGTCCGAGCCTCAGCAGAGCATCGGTCACGTCTTCGGCGCCCGAGACAATCGACCATGCCAGCGGCGTCCGACCCGTCGCGTTATCGACCGCGTTGCAGTCGAGGCCGCACGAACCAAAGTGATCCACCAGCCACTTGGCGGCGTCCTCGTCACCCTCACGAGTGGCAACAACTAGCAGCGCGTCGCCGGCCCGATTTGCGCCATTGACCGCCGCCGCTGTTGCGCGCTGACATGGAAGCCCGGCCAACGCTCGCACCATCATCGCTGGCGAGTGCTTGCGTGCAGCCTTGAACAGTGTGCGCGTTGCCTTGTGGATGGCTACGAGATGTGGCGGGTCAGGCTCGGCTGTGCTCGCTGCCGCTGCCTGGGCCCGCGCCTTGGCCCGCGCCTTGCGGCGGGCGCGGTTTCGGGTCTTGATCTCTGCTATTGCCTGCGCCGCGGCTGCCTGCTGCGCCGCTGCCAGATCCGCCGCACTCATGGCTGTCAGCTCGCCGGTCTCCTCGTCGATAGTAAACTCGGCCGGGAACGACCACGGTCCGTCGCCTGACGAGTTGACGCCGCGGGCAACAACCTGATGCAGGCCGACGCTCGGAGAGTGAACAGCGACCACGGTTGAGCCGCCGAGTGGCGACGGTGAGAGGTGCAGCGTCCGGAGCGCGTCGGTGGGCGGAATGAGTGCAATCTCGATCATCGCCGCTCGTGGCGCTGTGCTCCACCGTACTTGAAGCTTGCGCTCGCCGCGGGCAACACAAACCTCGACCTTGCGCATTTGGTCCGGCGCACCCGACTCGATGGCCAGCACCTGGGCACGTCCGAGGTCGGCGGCGGTATCGGCATCGACATCGTTGGCATGCGCAAGCTTGAACAGTTCGTGGTTGCACATGGCCATGTACTCGCGCCGAAGCGCGGCGTTGGCCAGCGTCACATACGCCTCGCCCAGATCAGCAAACGCGGCCTCGGCGGCCTGCGCTTCGTCTACCTCTGCTCCGGCAAAACGATCCGGATGGTAGCGGAGCGCAACTCGGCGGTACTGACGGCGAACAATGCGAGCAATCGCGTCCGATAGCCGCGCCAGTGACGCAGACGCCTCGGCTGCCCGCACCTCGATGGTGTGGAGGACCGAGACGCTGACCGCGAGACGGTGATCGACATCACGCGCAAAGTCATGCACGGCATCAACATCGGCCCACACTCCAGCAGCATCGGCGTCTTCCGCCAGTCCGGCCAGCCCGGCGGCGAGGCTCTCGGGCGATGTGGCGGCGATGCGACGTTGGACGATGACGACGTCATTGGCAGCGCGGGCGGCGAGACGTACGCGGCCTGCGGTGCCTGATGCATCGGCCTTGGCCCTCTCGCGAGCCATGCGCTGCCTCGCAACCTCCCACTGGGCCAGGCTCTTGCGGATGTCGATCAGGGCGGTCTCCTGGGCGGCCAGTGCCACCAGGTTCTCCGAGCTGTGGCGGACGGTCTCCTCGGCCCGGGCCTCGGCCAGCGCCTGCTCCCAGCATGCCTGGCCGGGCCCACCGGGCGCCCTGCTTTCCTCGTCCGGAAACAGCATGCAAAAGTAGTCCAGCATGGCGGGGGGTCGGAGCCGCGGCTTGGGCTGCGTCGAGTGGGCCGGTGAGCGGCGTGAGCGCGGGCTTCGACGAGTTCGCGGCGTTCGATGGAGCACGGCATCGGATGGCGAATGGAAGGACGGACGGATGGGAGCGGCGTGCTTTACGGACGGGTACGAGGACAGCGGATGGCGGGTGCTACTTGCCGCGAGAGGCGCGGGCGCGGATGACGTGGACAATGGGTCCGCGCTCGAGCTCCTGGAAGGCTTCGGTCTGGGAGACGGCGTCAAAGTGGGCGACGATAAAGCTGAGCGAGGCCTCGTGGAGAAGAGCGCACTCGTGCTCGACGGCGCCCTGGAGCATCCACGCTGCATTCTCGACGCAAATGTTGTTGAGAAGTACCGACTCGCACATGGCTTTGAGATCGGCAAGCTCGAAGAGGTTGACAGCCGTCAGGAGCTCCATGGCCTGTAGCAGGGAGATCTCCGTCCGGTCGATGTAGACAAAGGCGAGGAGGGCAGTAAAGGCCTCAAGCGACATGTCGAGCTCAAACTCAGTTGCTCCGGTCTCGGCAAACATCTCGCGGAACTTGGCTGAGCGCGCGGCGAGGACGGCACGGTGGGCGCGGATGGGCCGGCCCTGGACGAAAAAGGTGACATCGGCGTAGATAGGGTCGAGCAGAAGCTCACGCATGTCACGATGGAGCGGGGTGAAGTCTGGAAACTCGGCATGGTCCGGCTGCGCCTTGACCAAAATCTTCTCGTCTGGCGCGAGCAGCTGCTTGGGCTTGGGCTTGAGCAGCCGTGCGAGCATGCCGCGCTTCTTGGCCGGCTTGGGCACGCCCGGAATGACCTTCTCCGGGTGGCCGTACATGTCGGCGTCGAGGAAGGAGGCGCCAAACAGCGGCGGCAGGTTCGACTGACGCCCATCGCCGTCGACCACTGACGACGCGTCGACGCCGGGCGAGCCCGGGGACGTTGGCTCGGCCCGGATCGGCGACGGCGAGCGCTCGCGACGGGTATGATCGACGTCAGCGGGCGAAGCGACTAGCCCAGGGCTAGCAGTCGCTGCTCGCGCCCGCGACTCTGCCTGGATCTTGTCCAGGCTAGCCGGGGCCGGACTGTCGTCGCTGTCGCGGACGGCGAGGGCCGGTCCGCCGAGAGCCGAGGCCGAGAGCGGCATGGCGGTGTTCGACTCGCCATAGTTGCGTGTCGGCCGGAGCATGGCGTCGGAGGCGCGCGGCTGCTGCGGTTTGGCCGGCGGCGCCGACGACCACTCGCCGGCGTGCGAGGTGTAGAACGGAGTGTGCTGCGGAGCCTTGGCCACAGGACTGGACGGTGCCTGGTCGGCGGTAGCGTCGCGCATGGGCTCCCCGCCGATCTGCGAGGCCGTCAGCGACTGGCCACCGCCGTAGTTTCTGGCCAAGTACGATGCATACGGCGACGGCTTGGGCATAGTCTCCTTCAGCGGCGATGGATGTAGTGGCTGCTGTGAGCCCGGCGCGGTGCCGCGGACCCGGTACGAGTCGCCAGCGCCAGCGCCAGCACCCGCGCCAGCTGCGGTGGGGCCCTGGATCTCGCCGGGACGATAGCTTCCGCCGATGTGCAAGCCGGGCGTAGTCCGAGTGGCATATGGCGAGACGTAGCCCGGGAGAGCCGACCACGAGGCAACCGCAGGCGATTGCGGCTGGGCGCGATGTGCGCTGGCCGAGGAAGCCGAGTGGGGCAGCGGCGGGTTGTGGGCGAGGGTGTAACTGCTCGCTAGCCTGGCCTGGCTGCCACTCTCCGCCTGCGCCACTCCGTACCTAGCCGAGTACGACGACGGGTAGGGATAGTCCGAGCCTGCCGTGGCCGAGGGTGTTGCCGAGGGAGTAGTTGACGTCGTCGAGGTAGCCGGACCAGCCGAGGAGCGTGGAGGCGGGGTGCCGTGAGCGGGTTGGTGGTGGCGGCCATTGCGCAAGGTGTGCGGGTCCATGGGGGGGTATGGTGACAGATGTGGGGGTGGCAGTGGCAGAGGTGGTAGTTTGTGGAGTGGTGTGTGTGTGTGTGTGTGTGTGTGGAGTGGTGTGGTGTGGTGGTGTCTGTGGTAGTGGTAGTGGTGGTGGTGGTGGTGGTGGTGGTGGTGGCCAACGGCTGGGTGGCGTGTCAGGGAGCGGGCGAATGGGGCCGGTGGCGGGGGGAGGGGGGGGGAGGGGGCAGGGGAGGGGGGAGGGGAGGGGAGGGGTGGGGGGGGCACACTGGTACACTGCACTGGGTTGGTGTGAGGAGGAGGGCGTGTGGATGGGCAAGGGCAAGGGCAAGGGGAAGGACAGGAGCAGGGCAGAGGGTAAGGGGAAGGACAGGAGCAGGGCGGGCGGCAAGGGGAAGGGCCGTCGAAGGGGTACCGCCGGTGGTGATGCCTCGGACAGCAGTGATGATGCAAAGTCCAAGGGCAAGGGCAGGGGCAAGGCCAAGAGCAAGGCCAAGGCCAAGGCCAAGGCCAAGACCCGCCATGATGGCTCGGACAGCAGCAGTGATGCCTCGAACAGCGGCAATGCGGCCAAGTCCAAGGGCAAGGGCAGGGCAAAGGCCAAATCTAAGGCCAAGGCCAAGGGCAAGGGAAGGGGCAAGGCCAAGGGCAAGGGAAGGGGAAAGGCCAAGAGCAAGACCAAGACCAAGGCCAAGACCCGCCATGATGGCTCGGACAGCAGCAGTAATGCCTCGAACAGTGGCAATGCGGCCAAGTCCAAGGGCAAGGGCAGGGGCAAGGCCAAGAGCAAATCAAGGCCTCAGGCGGCTCCTGCAGTGTACGACGACTACGAGTACAGAGGCTACGAGTACGGCGACGAGTACGGCGACGAGTTCGGCGGGTACTATGAGTCAGACGATCCGCTGGAGGACGTAGTGCGGATGGTGTCCATGCTGGCGTCGCGGATGCGCGCGTTGGAGCGCGACATCGCCCACCGGCTGCTGGACCTCGACGACCTTGTGCGGCGGCGGCTGGCGGACCTTGCCAAGCGGACTGATGTGCTAGAGGGCGACGCGCTGCTGCGCGAGTCGCTTTGCGTCGACTCGCTTCCGACGCGGCGTCGGCGGCGAGCCTCGTCCTCGCTTTCGTCGTCAGCCGCCTCGGCCGCCTCGTCGTCTTCTGCCGAGTACGAGTACGCGTACGTTTAGTTCAGGGGCTCCTCCTCGCCGACCGTGACGGCGTCGAGGTCGATGCCGACGCGGATGAGCGAGACGCGGTTGCGCGCGCCGCCCTCGCCGCCGGGCAGGCGCCACCAGCGGCCGAGGCGGTGCTCGCGTCCCACAGCGGCGACGACAAACTTGCCCGACCTGGCCCATGCGAGGTCGTTGACAAAGCCGGGCGTGTCAACCTCGGCAACAGGCGTCAGCGACTTGCAGTGGTTGCCGACCTTCCAGAACTTGATCGTCCCCGTGGCCGAGCCCGAGGCGATGACATCGGTAAACTTGGCCGACTCGAGCGCAGTCGCCCAGTTGCACGTCGACCGCTGCGTCACCTCGCCCGGCGGGAGAAGCGGCGACTCGGGAAGCTGGCTGCACGGCGGCGCGCCGTGCGCATGCTTCACCACCGTCAGCGCCCGTCGCTTGTGGACGGAGAACAGCGAGAGCGAGCCGTCGACCGTGGCCACTGCAAAGTTGTTCTCGTTGATGAGCGAGACGCGCTCGACCGGCGAGCCACCGCCGGGTGCACGGAAGAGAAGCTGCGACTGCTCGAGCACCTTCCACACTCGGATCGAGCCGTCGGCAGAGCCCGAGATGGCCCGCTCACGGACGAGCGAGTCCATGTCGTGAACAGCGGCCTCGTGCCCAAAGAGCGACTCGACAAACGCTGCCTCGCTCCCGGCCCAGACCTTGACCACACGGTCGACGCCGCCGGAAAACAGCTGGTCTGTCGCATGGCGGAAGGCGAGGCCATACACAGGGCCCTTGTGTGCCCGCGGCGCGTTGGAGAGCGCAGGCAGCAGCGTTCGCGGCGGCGCCCGCGTGTCCCAGATCCGGATCGTTCCGTCCTCCCCCGTCGACGCCAGCACCGCCGGATTGTCCGCCACGGCAAGCGCGAGCACCGCGCCAGCGTGCCCGTCGCCGAGCTCAGTCGGCGGCGCGAGGCTGCGGCCCTTGGGTGGCGCCCGGGCCGCAGGCACCGCCACCCACTTGGTGTCCGACTCGAGATCCCAGGCCACAATGGCCCCGTCTTTGGAGCCCGAGTACACCACGCTCTCGTCGGCGGCCACAGCGACGGCGGTGACCGGCAGGCGGTGCTTGCCGTGCGAGGCCGAGACGGCGCGGCCATCGGGCAGGCCACCGGAGCCAAGCGTGTCAGCCACCTCCTGGCGGTACCGATGCGAGGCCCGGAGCGCGGCTTCATACAGCTTGTCGCCCACAGCCTCGTGGCGGCGCCCGCCTCTGCTTCCGCTCCCATCGTCGCCGCTCCCGCTTCCGCTCCCGTCGTCGTCGTCGGACCCGGCCATGGCTTCGATGTACTGCCGGGCGAGCCGGGCCCGCTTCTGGGCCGGCGTCTCTAGCTTCTCCAGGTCGTCCGAGTAGCTCAGCTCGGCCTCGTCGCCGCCTCGCCCACCGCCCTCCTCGTCACCCGAAAGAGACTCCACAGCCTCGTCTTCCGCCGCATGCCGCCCGCGGCGCCCCTCACCCCGCTGGCTCCGGCCCCGTCCGCCCCGGGATGGCCCGCCAGATGACCTGCTCCGTCCGCCGCGGCTACGGGCCTCACCCGAGCCCTCGCCCTCACGCTTCCGCTTCCGGGGATCCTTCAGCTTGGCCGCAACAGACCGCCCTCCCCGGCGCCGGTTGCCAACCTCGATGAAGAAGTCTGCCATCAGCCCTCTGCAACGCTAGTCGTGTGTTGCCGCTACCCGCTGCCACTGGCCACTCGGCCGCCGCCCGTGGATGGCCGAAAGATGGGCAATGGGCAATGTCCGCTCACCCACTGGCCGAATCGGAGACGGGCCATGGCGGTCACCAGCTTTCCCTCCTCTTCTCCTGTCAACACGAAAACAATGTTCGTGGCGACCACGCACTCATGGGTCACAGTATGTAATTGGTTGCTGCGCAGCGCCCGCTCGCAGATCAGTGCTGGGCGTTGAGGACGGCCTGGACGTCGGCAAAGACCGAGTCGGCCTCCTGGTAGGCGTTGATGAGGCGGAGCAGGCCCTTCTTCGAGTAGAACTCCTTGAGCGGCGCCGTCTGCGAGTGATAGACCTTGAGCCGGTTCTTGCACGCCTCCTCGTTGTCGTCCGGCCGCTTGTACAGCGGCTCGCCGGTCACATCGTCCTTGCCCGGCACCTTCGGCGGGCGGTGGACCACGTGGTACGACCGGCCCGACGCGCGGTGGATGAGACGCCCGGTGATGCGGTCAAGGAGGATGCCGTCATCAATCTCGAACGAGATGACGTGGTCCAGCGACTTCTCCTCCTTGGCCAGCAGCTCGTCGAGCATGACAGCCTGCGGGATGGTCCGCGGGAAGCCATCAAAGATGAACCCGTGCTCGCACTCGGGGTCGGACCCGAGCCGCTCCTGGATGAGGCCCACAATGAGGTCGTCCGAAACAAGCTCGCCAGCAGAGATCACAGACTTGACCTTCTTGCCCTGCACACCACACCATTATCTTCACCATCAGTCACCCGCCCCGCCCCATCGCCCGCCCTCTCCTTCCATGCCCACCCCTACCACCCTGCCTCATGACGCGTTGCGCCGGCGCCTCGCCATGCCGCCACAAGCCCACCGGGTCTTCCTCCCGTTCTCCCCTCTCCTCCTCCCCTCCCCTCCCCCCTCCCCCCCCCTCCTCCCCCCTTCCCTCCCTTGCCCTCCCCTTCCCCTGCTGGCCTGCCACCACCACTGTCCCCGGCTGGCCTGCCACCAAAAAATGTGCACCCTCTCTCACTGCTCCCCCCCGATCCCTTGCTCTGTCTGAACAGCCAGCCTCACGGGTGCCCCCTCCGGCCGGGCCACCATCCCCTCCCCCTTCCTCATGCAGAGCCTTCCTCCTACCCTCTCTCCCTCTCCCTTCCCCCCCTTCATCACATACCAGCGGAGTACCCGCAGCAATGGCGGCACGGAGCATGTCGCCCGTGGCGAGGTGGCAGAGGCCGTACTTGGCCTTGATCTGCGGGGCCTGGGTACCCTTGCCGGCGCCGGGCGGGCCCATGAGGATGATACCAAGGTGCTTCGGGGCAGTGGCCATGTTTAGCAAAGGTCTCTACAGTGAGAGTTGAGTGGTGCTTCTCCACTTACCGAAGACCCCCTCCCCCCCCCCTCCCCCCCCCCCCTTGTGCCCGCTCCTACCCAGCCGCCGTCCTTTCTTCTGCGGGTCGCTCCCGTGGCGTCTCCGCTCTCGCTCCACTCGCCCCAACCCCCCCTCTCCCCACCTGGGGACATTCGTTCCAAACTCCTTCTTCGCTTCGACTGTAAGTAGCCACGCTCTCGCAACTCCCTCAACTACATATCGCATCAGACCGTTCCATCGCTTCATTGCTACCCACGATCCCGCAGTGCAGGCCATGTTGCACGGACGGCATGGCGTCAGCCCCTTTCCTCCACCACCACCCCTGCCCCGCTGTCCTGATCACCATGACCATCGCGCCGTCGCCTGCCGCCCGGCAACCAGACATTAGGCCAGGAGCTGCTGAATAGAGGCCACTCTATGCGCGTGGTGTACATATGCCAAGATAGGCCATCGGATCCGATATCTCCCCCCCCCGCTGCCCGGTCTCCCCCCCATCTCCTCCACCCCCCTTCTCCTCCCCCTCCCCATCGAGACCCGCAACCAAGCGCAGACCGCCCCCTTCCCCCTCCCAGCTTCCCAAGCAGCAAGATCATACCGTTCCATCAAACTCCCACCAGTGTAGCACCCACAGCCATGTGCGATTGGCTTGCCGAGACAGAAGAAGTCGGACCGTCTCTGGGAGGCTTCCAATCCTCCCTCCGAGTCGACCCCCCCCCCCCACACACAGCCGACCACACGGGAGAGGGTAACACCTCACCCAAGTGACCATGGCGGACACAAGGGTTATGGATGAGACTGCCGAGTACTCGCTGGAGGAGCAGGAGGGGTACATCAAGAAGCTCGACGCCAACACGTATGAGATTGCCAAGGGCTTTGTGCCGGGCATGCGGGTGCCCGGACGGTTCTATGTCAACGACGAGCTGCGTGAGCTCATGGGCGACGAGCTACGCCAGTACACCTCGGCCAAGGGTGTCGGCGGCTTTGTGCCCGCCCTCAAGCAGGTACGCATGATCTCTCTCTCTCTCTCTCTCTCCCCCCCCCCCCCTCACACAATCCCCCATCCCCACCCCAGCTCACCTCCTCACCACCTCCCCCTCCCCTCCCCCCCCCAATGCCACCTCTTGTTCTAGATCGCCAACGTGGCGCAGCTGCCGGGAATCGTGCGGTACTCGTTTGCCATGCCAGACGTTCATTCCGGCTACGGCTTTCCGATCGGCGGTGTGGCGGCGTTTGACATGGACGATCCCGAGGCTGTGGTCTCGCCGGGAGGCGTCGGCTTTGACATCAACTGCGGCGTTCGGGTCATCCGCACCAACTTGCGTGAGGAGGATGTGCGGCCGATCCAAGAAGAGCTAGCGCAAGCGCTGTTCAACCATATCCCGGTCGGTGTCGGCTCCAAGGGCGTCATCCCCATGACCATGGCCGATCTGGAGGAGGTTCTGGAGATGGGCCTCGACTGGTCACTCCGCGAGGGCTACGCCTGGCCCGAGGACAAGGAGCACTGCGAGGAGTACGGCCGGCTGCTTGCGGCGGACCCGTCCAAGGTCTCGCGGCGGGCCAAGAAGCGCGGTCTGCCGCAGCTCGGGACGCTCGGCGCCGGCAACCACTACCTGGAGGTGCAAAAGGTGGAGGAAATCTACGACGTCGATGGGGCGGCCAAGATGGGCATTGACGCCGTGGGTCAGATCGTGGTCATGGTCCACTCGGGCTCGCGCGGGCTCGGCCATCAGGTGGCGACTGACGCGCTGATCGAGATGGAGCAGGCCATGCGCGACGACGGCATCGATGTCAACGACAAGCAGCTCTCGTGCGCTCGCATCGGCTCGCAAGCTGGGCAGGACTACCTCGCCGCCATGGCGTGCGCCTCCAACTACGCCTTTGTCAACCGCCAGTCGATGACATTCCTCGTCCGCCAGGCCTTTGCAAGCGTGTTTGGCAAGTCGCCGCAGGAGCTTGACATGTCGCTCATTTACGACGTCTCACACAACATTGCCAAGGTGGAGGAGCACCTTGTCGACGGCACGCCCAAGACGCTGCTTGTCCACCGCAAGGGCTCGACCCGTGCCTTCCCGCCGGGCCACCCGATGCTCCCGGTCGACTACACCTACATCGGGCAGCCCATCCTCATCGGCGGCTCGATGGGCTCGGCCTCGTACATTCTGCTTGGGACACAAAAGGGCATGGACGAGACGTTTGGGTCGACCTGCCACGGCGCCGGCCGCCGCTGCTCACGCTCCAAGGCCCGCCGCGAGGTCAAGTACGAGTCTGTTCTCGACGAGCTTGCGGCCAAGAACGTCTCCATTCGCGTGGCCTCGCCCAAGCTCATTGCCGAGGAGTGCACCTCGTCGTATAAGGACATCGACGCGGTCATCGAGACCTGCCACCAGAAGGGTATCGGCCGCAAGGCTGTCAAGCTCACCCCTATTTGCTGCATCAAGGGCTAGCTCCGCCGCTGCAGCTGTAAACGATGGCCGTACAAGCGTCAGTCGAGCAAGCTTGGCGTGCTCGCACCACTGCTGGCCAGCACGTCCGCATTGGCGGCGGCGCCAGGCTTGGTCGCGCTGCCACTATCGCCGTTGTGGAGCGGGTCGAACATCGAGAGCAGCGACGGCGTGTCTTGCACGAGGCTGCCCGAGACTGACGGTCCGGCTGCAAACATAGCAAACGGATCAGCGGTGGCGGCCGGCACGGTGGTAGGAGCTGCGGCGGATGCGGCGGCGAGTGCGGGTGCAGCGGCGAGCTCTGATCCGAAAATAGCAAACGGATCGGCAGCAGCCTGCGGACGAGCTGGCTTGGGGAGTTCCGGCTTGGGCTCTGCCACAGGCTCAGTGCTTGCAGCAAAGTCGATGAGCGGAGCAGAGGTGGCGAGGGGCTCTGCCTCCGGGTGTGGCTGGGCTGGGCTGACAAGCGCGGGGTCGGGCGCGTCGGGCGCATCGGGGGGAGCAAATGAGGCGTGGATGTCGGCAAAGTCGACGCCGTCCCAGTTGACCCGGTTGTCGAGGCGGACCCGACGGGTGACCCGGTTGGGCGCGAGAACCGGCGAGGCGAGCTCGCCGAATAAGCCCCCGCCGCTGCCAAGGCTTCCGCCGACACCGCCACCGGTTCCAGTCGGCGTCCGCGGCGTGGCGGGAGAGTCGGCTGGCGAGCCCGGGGCCGAAGTCGACGAGCCGCCGCCGCGGCGGAGGGCAGAGAAGACCTTGCCGAGCTTGGACCGCGAGACGCGCTTGTAGGAAAAGGCGGCGATTTCAAAGGCATTGGGCGGACGGCGCGATGCCGCGCGGTCTGCGATTTCGCGGCCAAACTCCTCGAACATCTGGGTCCGCTGAAGAGCGCGAAGAAAGGCGACGGTCGACTTGGACTCTTCGTGTTGTGCGATGAGCGCCTCAGAGTCAAACACGACAGCCGACGACGCGTGGCGACCGGTGGAGACGGCCGACTCGTCGACAAAGAGGCACGAGCGGAACGGGCCGAGGAGTGAGACCCAAAAGGCCATAAACGCGTTCGAGACCCGATTGGCGAGCTCGCGCTGCGCCGATTCAGGAACCACGGCGTCAAGCTCCTTGCGGAGCGCCGACCATGTTTTGCGCAGCGCGGCGGCCGGCTTGTTCGGCAGTGCGACGCCACCGGCAGCAGCGAGGTCGTCGCCAAAGCTGGACGTGCTGGCGCGCTCGGCCCGCTCAGCCGCGGTGTCGACAACGCTCGAGTGGTCGAGGTAGACAACGACGACGTCGTCTAGCGGGTACTTGGCGATAGTCTCGAGCTCCGACGTGGGGACGCCCATGAGCCACGGCATGGGTGCGCAGGCGTAGTCAAAGAGCGACGGTGGCAGGACCGGGATGAAGACGTGCTGCCACTGCAGCGGGTCGAGCAAGGCGTTGAGGGTCAGGATTGACGACGAGAGCGTGGCCAGCGCCTGGGCTGTGACCAGGATGCGGCGCTCGGTGGCGAGAGCGAGCAGGACGCCGGCAATGGCGTCGGCGTCGAGGGCGGCAAGCAACGCCAGCCGGGCACCGACTGATGGCTCAAACCGCGGCGCGGCCCCGGGCGTCGCTCGCGGTAGCCGCAGAGTGTAGCTCGACGAGCCGACAGTGAGCTTGAGCGAGGGCGAGGTGATGCGGGCAGCAAGGACCTGGTCAAAGAGCGATCCGAGCGCGGGACAGTTGCCTGCGCTCGGTGCAGCATGGCCCTTTACCCGCTCGGCCAGCTTGAGGACCTTGCGGAAGAGGGCGACCGTGGGGTGATATGAGAGCATGCACACGGCGTACACAGTGTCCGACGGCCCGGCAAAGCGGCGGACGTGTCCGTAGAGCCGATCGCCATCACCGGTGGTCAGCACAAAGACAAAGCCATGAAGCCGGGTCCACAAACTGGTCGAGCCTGTGCCTGCGGCAGAGGCATCGGCTCCGGGAGCGGCGAGGCCTGTGGGAGCCGCCGGCTGCATCTGCAGCTGCGAGCGGGCAGCCGAGGGGGAGGCCGAGTGGCGGGCACGGGGCGCGAGGCAGGCGAGTGCGGTATCGGCGGTGTCGGCAAAGCAAAAGGCTGCAGCAGCCTTTGCAGTCCCTGTCCACCGCGGGGAGTGCGGGGCGAGGGTGTGGACGGTCGGCTCCGACCAGTGGGCCGGGTTGGTGACGGCGAGGAAGGCGGCCTCTGCCACCCGTTCTGACCGCATGGGTAGGGGGCGGGGGAGGGGGAGGAGGAGGACGAGGGTGAGGGTGAGGGGGGAGGGGGAGTCTCTGTCACTGCCGCAGCAGAGTGGTTATGAGGTGAGTGTGTTGTGTCGTGTGTCGTGTTGTGTCTTGTCAAGCCGTGTCGGGCCGTGTGGGGTCTGTGTGGTGGTGGTGTGGAGCAGAGGGAGCGAGCCCGTCCAGGTGCCCAATCCGTTCAATCGTTCGTTTAATCGTTCATTTAATCGTTCCCTCAATCGTTCGCTCGTTCAATCGTTCATTTAATCGTTCCCTCAATCGTTCGTTCGTTCAATCGTTCCCTCAATCGTTCGTTCGTTCAATCGTTCCCTCAATCGTTCCCCCAATCGTTTGTTCGTCCCCCCCCCCTCCCCCCCCGTCCCTCCCCTCCCCCCTCCTTTCGTTCGGCCTCCCCACCTTTCTTCCGCCCCTTCACCTGCCCAACCGCCACCAGCCGTGGGTTGGGGACCTCGATGTACCAGCTCACCATGTCGCTGCTAGAGTATGCAGCGCAGGCAAAGATCTTCACAGAGCGCAAAATCACACAGCTCGTCTCCCTCGTCCACTCCCTCCAGGCCCTGCGCATCGAGGGCGAGAAGCCCATGTCGCGCCGCGTGAGGGAGATGGTCCGCCGGGTACGCCTCCTTCCCTCCCCCCCCCCCCCACACAACCCCCCTTCTGGC